TATAGTTTTCAAGTGGAAAGATACTTTGCACTCCCCAAAGAAACTGAGTGTGTGGCATAGGTTTATGTCAACGTGACACAAGCTAGTTCTTTTAGAAGAGGGAACCTCAACTGAGAAAATGCCCTACAGATTGGCCAGTGGGGCATTCTCTTGACTGATGTGGGCCCCCTGGCCTTGTGATGATCCTGGATGTTGTCAGAAAGCCTGGTGATCCTGGATGTTATCAGAAAGCAGGCAAGCCAGAGAGCAAGCCAGGAAGCAACGGTCCTCCATGGTCTCTGCTGCAGTTATAGCCAGGCTCTCTCCCTGAGTTCCTGCCCACACTGATGGAAGTACAAGTTCTGAGATGAAATAAACCCTTTTCTTCCCAAGTTGCTTTTGCTCATGCTGTTTATCACAACGACAGAAACCCTAACTAAGACACTGAGTGTTTATGGGTATTCATGCTTAGTAAACATCACTTACTGCATATTTCAGTAAGAATGAGTACTATCTTTTAAACTTTAAAATAAAACCTCTTAATTGCTATTATCAACAGTTAAATACTGCGTAACAGGAGATACTGAATTAAGCCGAGTAGATATTAAAAACGATAAAGCACGATCTTTGCTCTCAGGCAGCTGACAGGTGTGTTAAGGAGTGTCAGTGAACTAAACAGAATCAACTAGCTAATACATCAGACAACATTGTAAGGTTCAAGGGTAACATAGTCGTTGCAGGTCAATTAACTCAGCATTAATACTTTGGAAGTATAGGTCAGAAAGGCAGAGAATATCCTAGAATGTGCATTTATTATAAATAAGGTCACTGTGTGCCCTTGCAGGAAAAAGCAGCAAGTGCAGGTGGGGGGCTAGAGAATTTAGGGCACATGATAGACTTTTGTTCCTTTCTGACATCCCCCACCCCCTTTTTTTGTTATGGTGCTGGGGGTATTGTATCTAGGACTTTTGGCCTATCAGGCAAGCTCTCCACCACTGAGCTACATAAATCTCCAGCCCCCTGTATGAAGCTCATCTTTATATTACACTTTACTGTAGAGAATTCAGAATTCCCTTGTGACTTAGAAACAGAACATGGACTCACGTCAATGGTAGGCTTCTCAGGGTTTTGTTCTCAAGGCCCCATTACCCATCCTTTTCATGTTTCTCTGATTTAGGGTTCTACTAACGGAAAATTTAGGAAGCAAATTCTGGTCACTTGGCTGTTTTTTAGGTTCTCTTTTTAAAGTATAGAGAGTCCTAATTTAACATAGAGGGAAGGTGGTTTGTTGGGTGTACTAATTGGATGAATAGTAAAAAAATAATCAACACTGAATTACTTTATGACGGGTACTAAAACCAATGTCTGTAAACAGTCAGGCAATGTGCCATTCTCTTCTACTTTAGGCTTTTTTTGGGGGGGGGTGATTCTGGAGCTCTCTATGCAGCCTAAGCTAATTTGAACTCACAGCAATTCTTCTGCCTTAGTCTCTTCAGGGCTGAGATTACACATCCAGCTCTCCAGACTTATTTCAGGTCATAATAAAATCCTTTGGACAAATGTAAAACAATATTTCCTCGAATTTTTGTGCTCTGACTGACTAAAGTCAGGAAACTCCACCCCCAATAAAATACTAGACCAACTGACCACTTTGGATGGCATAACTGTTTCTTCATCAGTTTCTAGAACAAATTCAGAAAACAAAAGCACTGTAAAAGGCCAAGCAATACCATCTACAGGCAACCAAAAACAGGCATTGAAAGACATTGAAGTTACTTCATACAGTACACGTCCACGTCTCAAGTATTCTGACAACAGTAAAACAGTTTATAAACAAACATTTCATGGACAAGTTTAAAGCCATCTGAATGAACACAGTTAACATTCTTATCAGCGAGGTAACAGGGTAGTAGTGCTTCACAGTAAGAGAAGGTAGAAAGACGCCCGGGGAAGAGGGAGGTAGAGCAAGAAAGGTGCAAAATTAATGTATCCGAGTGGAATTCATATCTTTCAAGCTTTGGAAATACCAGTGGACAAACCTGGAAACAGAAGCAGTAGCAGCATTTTTTGAACTTCTCTAGGAGACTCCCACTTAATGTTTCTGTTGCACCAACTCCAGAAGCATCTTGATGAAGAAATGGGGGGGTCTATTTGCTATGTGCAGACATCACAAAGTATCCAATCTCTTGGATCTGTCTTAACTTACTACATCTAAATATTGATCCTTTATATCTCAAATATCTTACAAAGTTGTGTGTTCTCCCAGATGAAAGTGTGTTCAAGTTTCACACAGTTTGTAAATCAAAAAGAACACCCATCACTGCACTCATTCTCCTACAATTCAAAATACACACGTTATTTGTGAGCCAAACTCTAGATACAGAGTAAAACACGAAAGTCACCATTAGTGCTTTATACACGTCTTGTTCCAATTGGATTCTTTAAAGTGCGTATGAAGGAATCTTTAAGGTTTCAAACAGGTTTTATAATCACCACCCAAAATTCTGACCTCTTAAACATTTCACGTTGTCTATTCATTAGCTTCACAATTACATATGTGTATAAATTGTATTACGATCACAGTCGCTCCATTACCCATCTCTTAACCCTCTCCTACTCCTGCTGACTCCCTTCTTTCAACCAGTCCCTTCTGCACACTATGTCTTCTTTTCTTGTTTTTAGAACAGGTCTTGTCTATTTGTTTTATGTCCTTATCCCCTGTGGTGTCTTCACTACAGATCATCAGGATGCCATTAGTGTTTCTTACTTTGATACCTTCAGTGAGTTAACATGATTTAGTTAATGAGCTCAACAGCTTTCAGTTTCAGAGTCCAATAATCTTGATTCCTTGAACTTTTTCTTACAGGTTATACTTTACAATCCCTGGTTTTATTTCTTTTACTTTTGTTCTTTATTTTCTCTGGTTCTCATGTGATTCTGAAAAAAACATCCAAGTAGGACTGGAATCCATAACAAGAATGCTTTTCCTCCCCTCCCAGAACTGGGCTACTTTTCAGTGATCACTACTAAAGGAAAATTGTATGCTGTCTGCTCACCCCAACAAAAGACGTGAACAACCTTGCATACAGTTTACCCCACCACTAATAGTGCAAGGTTTGTGCTTCACAAGAAGCATTTCTCATGCTGTCATTACTGGTTTTTATATATCGTCTGTCGGGCTCTACTGTAATTTCCACCTTACTCTTTGATTTTTCTCCATCAATAATAACCCCCCCCCTTGCATTGCCAAAGATCAACTGCAAGCTTTGCAACCATCTTTGCTTTATCTCCATGCTAGATAGGTGCTTTACCACTGGGCTCTGTCTCAGCCCAATTTTTTTTCCTCAATGCTCCAGAAAATACTCATTTTAACTTATTTGCTCACAGAAAATATATTCACTCCCATACTATTGCTGAAAAAGAAGAGATGAACAATGTAGTGCCAAAGCTGAGAGCCACTAGCTGACACCCCCTTCCTGTTAGCATCTCTGCACCCATTGTATCAAGTTCATGTTAAACATGCTCAGACAGATTCAAGAATTGAGACAAAATCAAATAGTTTCCTCAACCTATACACTTTGGGATCCTTTATACATCATTGGAATTTAGCTTTTCCAGGTAAGATCTCAAATGTCACTACCTTCACTTTAAGATGACATATCTTGTATATGCTCAAGCATTCAAACAAAAATGTTCTCTTCATAAGTGGATGACAATCATGACATGGCTTTTGTGATTATGAATAGGCTGTCACATCCTTTAGTTTCATTTTGTTCTTGGGTCACGGGAACACAGACACAAAACTGAATATGCATGTTTCCCCATATACACCTTTGATTATACCACTTTGTAGAATACATGCCATTTCCTAATTACAATTTATACTCCTAAAAGCCAATAGAACGAAAGTGTTTTATAATTTTAAGAATAAAACAAAACATTCTGTATACTTCTTCTCTAGAACAAAGCCTTTAAAATAAACCAATACAGAAAAATGGCACTGTACATTAACTAGCTATCATCTACAGCCATATAGGACCCAGTTCTAAGACAGCAAGGAAGGAACAAATTAACAATAGTGGCAACATAATTTGAAAACTATGTTTGGATTATACAACCAAAATGAACTCAAAACTGTGACAAACCAAACCATGATTTAATTAACATGCTAATCAGTTTAGACTTTACATTATTATTTTTAAGAAATAAATTAGTATCAGTGCTATCTCCTACAGGCAACTTTGTTTAAACAATTACACCCCAAGGCCTTGTTACTGTTATCTTCACTATAGCATGTATTCAGTAAACTATGTAGGGAGATGACAATTTGAAGAGCTTAGACAGTATTTCTCTACTAGGGCTTTTCAGAAGCTTTAGACAATCAACCACAAATGACTTTCCTGAAAACTGTTTTCACATTTTGGATGATGAAGAGTTATTTATATTATCAGAAATTCCAAAGCCAGTAACACACTAAAATAAACTCACCTTAGTCTTAAACATCACTGTCAATGTTTCCTAATACCTACAATTTCCCACCAAGCACCAACCATGCTTAACCTTGTTTATCTTCTGAGATCAAGTGAGACTGGGCATTGAATCAAGGTAGTAGAAAATACTTATATCTTGATGCTTCATTTCTTAGTAAAATTACCATTACTTTATCAGATAAAATAAATCTACTTATAAAAATGCAATCCAGAAAGACTGTCAAATACCATGATCATTCCACAGCACAGTTTTCTTTTCCCACTTATAGGCTATGATAACTGAATCCTAGCACAAAGACTCAACTACAGTTACATTAAACCAGGTTTTTTAAATTGATTGCATTTTGTTTAGGGGCAGAGAACACACACAACATATAAAAGTCAAAGGACAATATATGGGAGTTAGTTCTCTCTTTCCTTCCACTGTGTGAGCCCCAGGGATTGAACTCAAGTTGTGAAGTTGTGACAGGTGTGTGCACCCACAGAGCCATCTCACCGGCCCCAATGTCATATTTATATTGTCTATAGAAATGCACATTAGGCCAGATTTTATTAAGATCTTTTCTGCAACCATTTTTAGCATCAACAAACCTGTTTTCCATAGAGGGAGCACCTATACAGCTTGGAAGATTTCCCTTAGCCATTTGAAAATGGACTGATGAAATTATATCCAACGCAGGAACACTGTTTAGTTCATACCAGACCCTGAGAATGCATTGAGAAATGTGACAAGAACAAAGCCACTAGGAGTGTTGCCACTATTGTTTTATGTTCAGTAAACATCAGTCTTAAATACCTAAAGTAAATATACATCACAACAAGGTCACCTGAAACAGAGGTGCAAAACCACAGGCTGTAATATCTGTCCTAAATCAGAAAACCTAAATAACCTATTACTTTTTGAGGCAGAGTTTTACTGTGCGGACCAGGCTGGCCATAAACTAACTAATGATCCCCCTGCCTCAGTCTCCTGATAACTGTAATTACAGGAATGTGCCATCAAGCTGGGTTTCTAACTTGAAAATCATATCTACATCATGACAATGACACTTTTCCAAAATGGGCAGGAATAGCACCCCCAGCAAACACACATATCTTGAAGAAATAATTTCCTTAACTAACCCTATAGTTATATAATGTTTCTTTTAAACCATGCTATACACAATTACGAGATATGTAATTAAGCTTAACCACAGTTTAATAAGAAAACTCACTTTTGTATTGTTTGTGATACAGGAGGAATGGCGTGCCACTGTAACACTTTTCACTATAATGACTGTCATTTAAGATTATGAAAACATTTGACTCATATCCCTCCAAACATTTTCATTTCAAATGTATATATATAATCTATTTAGCCAGCAGAATAGAGGAAAGAAAAGGGGAAAGATAACTTGGCAGATGGAGAATTCCAACACGAGGTTCACTGTGTAGAGTTCTTCATTCCAGGTCAGTGCAAAGTCATAACGTACTGATGTGCCCTAGCCTACACAGAACGCCAGGTCAGTCCATTCTTATTGGGCTCTAGAAAATTCTCTATCAGAGCATCAATGAGCTTCTTTAATTCGTCTTCCAGTAAGGCAGTGTCACTGAGGGAAAAGACACAGAGCTTGAAAATTCTTATTTTCACAGCCTTAACATTTATTTTCACTTTTAAGGAGGGCACATATCTGATGGGACAATTAAATAATTAGCAAGAAAAATTCACCCAGTTAAAATAAAACAAGACTCTCAAAAACTCCACACACAAGGCAAGTTATAAACTAAAACGGAACTGCATTACTAGTTTATCTTCTGGCCCATGGTAAAGTATGAGTTAATTATAGCCAATTAATTCTCCTAGGTTAGGCAACTGAATAGCTCAGGCCAATACCAAGTATTATTATAAAATGGCTTCCTGAGGGGCTGGTGGTGGTGCACGCCTTTAATCCCAGCACTTGGGAGGCAGAGGCAGGCAGATCTCTGTGAGTTCCAGACCAGCCCGGTTTACAAGAGCGAGTTCCAGGACAGGCTCCTAAGCCACAGAGAAGCCACAGGACTTTCACTAAAGGTGACATGGAAGAATACTACCTATCTTTCAGGTAGCAGAAAAGAGTACCAGCACTAACTAGGGAGACAGAGACAGAGGCAGGTGATCTCTGTGAGTTCAAGGCCAGCCAGGGCTACACAGTGAGAGACTATCTCCAAACTGTTTATTAAAAAAAAATAACTATACACTTATAAGTAATTCCTTCTGAATTGTCATGGAAACACTGCTGCAGCCCAAAACATTATTCTTAGAGAAGTTTCTAGTAACTGCTTTCACAGCAGTTTCTTCATTTTTAACTTAAAAATTACTTTAACTGCTTTGAACATAAAGAGGACTTTTTCCTCTCCTGTAGAAATACAGTTTTAGTATATGGGCATGGGGAAATATAAAACAATACACTCTAGTTGTGTTCTGAAGGCAACTAAAAATTTTTTAAATAACTTTTGATGTTTATTAAAGAGACTAATAGTCTGTAACAAACAACTCATTTTTAGAAACTGAATTGGGCAGATTATTTAAAACCATGGCAACACAAAAAACCGAGTATCTGGTAATGTTCAGAGCACATGTTGATCATTTCTTCATATTAAATCTCAGAGTCTTCCAAGAACAGAAATTCACAAGTTTGAAGTTCAATTCCCAATGATATAGCTTCTTTGGAAAAGTTTCTCAAAAGGTAAAACATAGTTAACTTAGGGCCAAGCAATCCTACTTCTGCATATATATCCAATAAAAATGAAAGTGCATACCACACAAACTCCTTCACAAGTGCTCATAAATGTTCCATTCTTGATAGCTTAAAAAATGTAAATAGTCTGGATGTTCATAGATGAGTGGATTTCAGAACATATCCATATGATAGGATACATATCCATAGAATGGAATATTTGGGGACTAAGGATCATATAGCCACTAAGGACCACATACAACATTTCCTTTATATAAAATGTCCTGGTATGGGTTGAATCTGAAATTTCCTTTATAGACTCAGGTGCCATCATGCTCATTCTTGCCTTAGATCCAAAGCAATGGATCCAGACAACTGAGAACTGAAACCTCAAAAAGCATGGCCCCAAATAAATCCTCCCTCCCCTTTCTTCAAAGTGTTGAAAACAACAAGAGAAAGTGTAACCCATGCCCAGTGTAAGTAAACTCTACAGAAAAGAATAGTAGATTAGTGATTGCTTACGGCTGTTAAGGACTTCTACAGGGTACAGAGGCTTTTCTTCAGAACAAAAAGGTTCTAAAATTGACTGTAGTGATAGTTACACAGCTCTGGGCATATTAAAAACTACTCAATTTTACATTGATATGTGTAAATTCTATGGTATGTAAGTTATATCCCACTAAAGCTCTTACATATGTATCTGAAAGCATCAGTTCTCACCTCTGGCCAGGTGATGCACACATCTCTGCATAATACTTGATCTTTGGTTCTGTCCCACTTGTTCGAAGGGTAGCAACACAGCCATTTTGAAAAGTAAATGTAATCATTTGGCTGTTTTTACTCACAGGCAGTACCTATGCAAAATGCAACAGTTTACACCTGAATCTTCATTTTCAAGAACTATAAACTACATTGCACTTAATGAAGCATCTAAGGTAGCCTATTCATAGAAACAAAGTAGACTGGTGGTTGCCAAGAGTTGGGAGATGGGGGTAGAAAGTTGTTTAATGAGTACAGAATTTCAGTTTATCAAGGTTAAAAAGTTCTGGAAATCTGGTGCATAGTAATATAAACATATTTAACATTACAGAACTATATGCTCTAAAACTGGTAAGATTTAAAAAGAGGACATGAAGTCCTGAAACAGGCTGGTTGATTCCAGAGAAAGTTGGAGGGAGGCAAGTGAGGGTGTATAAGATCAAATTTATTAAATACATGTATGAAATTTTCAAAAAAGAAAAAAGTTATTAAAACTGGGAAAGATACAAACATGTTAAATACATTAGAATATTGAAACAACATCTGAATATTACAAATAGAAACTTAAGCTAACAGTTATCATAACAATAAAATGAATATGATAATTTATCACACATAAGTTATCTACCCAGGTAGGAGCTTTGAGAGACACAGAGGAAATGGACCCACCACATGCAATACAATGATAACATAAGTAGATGTCAACAAAGACACTATTACATAATCCACAGAAAGTGGCTGATTATGGGAGCTGGAAGTCACAATGAGGATGTAGCATTTGCCTTAAGTCTTAAGCCTCATGCATTCTAGGTAAACACCTTATCACCATCAGCCCTTGCCTTAAGCCTTAAATAATGGTCAGATATGAACCTACAGTAGAAAGGAGAGAAGGTAAACTAAGGCAAACAACTTGACCCAAAATACCGGAAAACTTTAAAATGTGTTTAAGAAATCAGTCCCTCTATTTGTCTAAAAGTATAGGGAGTCAGTCTGGAAATGTGTTAAAATTAGAAAGCTGTAGGGTGCTGAGACCAGAAACTTTTAGACTCCAGTTTTCCACACCATTTATCAGCACTGCACACCCCTTCTCTCACTTTCTCCTCTTCCTTGAGTTCTTTTCTTCAAGCCTACTCCCCTTTGCACCAAGGTAGTACAGAAGGTTATTTGGGGAGTCATGAATGTCAGAATCAAAGAGACCAGTTATTGCATATCGAAACAATGAGTCTGTCTCTCATGAACCCGGAGGCCACCCCTTTACTACATCTTTTAAATATTTAAAAGAAGTTTTCTTTTAAGAAGAGGTGTTTTTCAAGAGCTTCAGCTTCTAGCTGAACACAAAGACTCCTGGGAAGGTGGTGCACCTGGACGGTGCTTAGGTCTTGCTAGACTCCACCTGTAGAGTCTCACCTCTTCCATCTGGCTGCTTCTAAACTATGACACTGTAAACTAGTAAACATGAGCACACTGGCTTGAATCTTATGTAAAACTTGTTCCAGTTTTGTTTTTTGACTTAGTCATTAAATTGTCTTTGTTGTTTGAAAAATGAAAAGGTACTTACTGATTTCTTATTGGGCTGGCTGCTGTCATATCCAGTGGTTATGTCCCGTACGTGCAAGATAGCAAAAGCCCCACAAAACTTTGGGTATTCATTTGGAGACTCAAAATTGCGAATCCTTTCAAATATAGTTTTGATGGTAGGTGGGTCATAACACAAGAAATAGGAAGTTTTTGACATGTGATAACCGTATCTGTGCAAAGATTTAAAGCTGAAGTCAGATTCTAGGTAACCTTTAGGACATATTAAAGATACATATTAAAGATAAGCCAACATAGTACTTTTTAGAAAATGATACTGTTAATTTTAATAGTAAAGAAATCTAACTGTTCCTCAAAACCACACTAAGGACCAAACCAACAAAGCAAACAAAATAGAAAGCAAGAAAGATCTGGCATGTGTGATTCATGTAAGAACTTACTTCTCATAAACTTTTGCCAACTGCTCTGTCAGGGTTACCTTCCTGATCTCCAGGAAAGAGGCCATCTCAGCAACAACAACAGCTGCACTCACACCATCTTTATCCAACACCGAGGTTCCACACAGAAAACCTGAGGGTTACATGGTGTCTTTAGAAAAGGGGAAAACTTCAGCCTACAACTGCCAGAGTTTTACATTTCTCCCCTGACCAGGGAATAGAAGAGCACATTATCAAGCCAGTAATGTATGACTGTATTTCAGCACCCAAGTGTCTTAACTGGCAGTTTAAGGTCAGCCTAGGCTATAATAGCTAAGCTCTTTTCTCACAAAAACTCCTAACATTAATGACAAAATACAGCGACAACAACAACAACAATAACAAATCCAACTTGTTAGGAATCTAGTAACCAGAATGTATTCAGGGACCTTTAAGTTCTTCTCTGATGGAAAATGAACTTACTTATTGTGATCTAATCTTCTTGGGCAAACAACGCCTTTAAGTTTTTAAGTAATGCAAAGTAATGTAAGCATGCCACATGCTTAAACTGCATGTACCTTTCCACAACACCATGGCCTGCATAAAGCCTTTGTCAATTCCTTCTCTGTAGCCTGATTTGAGGGTTTTTCATCTGATGATGCTACTGTCCACTTGAAAGAAAAGACACATACTGCTAGGCATGCATCTCTGCATTTTCTTTCTTTTTTAAGCAGTAGGAATACTATTTAGAAACCCTATAAGCTTTTCTCCCTCCCTTCCTTTCTTTCAAGACAGGATTTCTCTGTGGCTCTGGCTTCTGGATGTCCTGGAACTCACTCTGTAGACCAGGTTGGCCTCAAACTCACAGAGATCCACCTGTGCCTGTCTCCCAAGTGCTGGGATTACAGGTGTGCACCACCACCACCTAGCTGCATCTCAGCATTTTCACAACTCAAAATTATAACCAGAGGTAAATGTCTTCTCTCTACAGAATTACTATATTTTAAAATGCTTTCAACCAAAAGAAAAAGGTTATTAGTATTTACTACATACCAATAGACTCTTCAAATGCGAAAAGGACTTCTTTCCCATGCCCTAGGAGATCTTTTATCCTACTTCCAATCCATTTAAAGCCTGGTAATGTTTCCTGAAAATTAGAGGAAGCCACTCCAGTTAAGTAACTCTGATGAACACATATTAATGAACTTATTTCTAAATGCACATAACCCCTCAATAGTGAGTTTCTGTCATTGTCTTTGGTCCATAAAGGTTTATATAGAGATAAATACATAGTCACAAAATACCATAATCACCACACACAGGCACAAATAATGACCCACTAGCAGAGAAACAGGTGACTTACATCAAATATGTTTATGTGATGAAAAATATAAATGCAAAGTGATATATATCTATGTGTGTGTGTGTGTGTGTGTGTGTATGTGTATGTGTTAAGTATTGTAATGGGTGTTTTACATCATCTTTTCTAATGCTCACAAACATTGCTGCCATAGTAGAGGCTCAGAGATTACCATTCCCAAGACTGCACATAAAGGATGGGGACAGGGTTTATTTATATTGCTTTCCTAAAACTGTCCTTTAAGCACTCATGGGGATGTGATTTAGCCTACTCAGGTAATCAAAGCCTTTAGGTTTTTAGTGACACAATATAAGCATACTATATGCTTGAACTGTGTATATTGTTTCACAAAGCTGTGGCATACATAAAGTCTTTATCAACCCTTTTTGTAATTAGATTTGAGGGCTTTTCATCTGATGAGCTACTGTCCACTTTTAAGACAAGCCCTACTTTAGTGTCAACAGAGAACGCTTGTATACACACTAATTCTAGAGCTTTGCCATCACTAATCTGTTTCCTAATTCAGTTTTCTACTTCCTCTTAAAAAAAATAGAAATAGAAAAGCCAACACCACCCTCAGTAAAAACAAATTTATAATATTGCTTTTTAGAATCAAATTTCTCTTTAAGCTTAGGATATATTCTTTGCCATAAACAAGGAAACTATTAACATCATAATTCAGAATCTTAGGCTTGAATAAAATTTCATTATCTTCTATTTTTTTTGTATGTAACAAACACAATACTCAGTTTTCTCTTCTTTGTATGATGGGTGTATGTGTATATACATGCATGTTCATGTGAATGAGGGCGTATGTGTGCCAGTCCACAAGTGGACTTTAAAGGACAACCTTGGGAATTGGTCCTCATCTTTCAATCTTATTTAACAGGGTCTTTTCATTGTTTGCCATTGCATTCAATGGAACAGCTGGCCTCTGAGATTCAGAAGCATCCCTACATCTCATCTTGTCATAGGAAGACTAGAATTACATGTGTGTAGTATTGCATCCAACTTCACATTGGTTTTGGGGATTCAAATTTGGGTCCTCAAGAGTTCAAGGCATATCCCCAACCCACAATATTCTTTTACTTATCCAATTAGTGTTAAGATCCATAGCTTGTTGATGACTCAAGAAAAATGTCCATTTTTATTGATACTTGGCAAAGAGGGCAGAAGACAACTTAACTGACCAAGTTTCTTAGTCCAAGAAGCTGTAGAAACGGTCCCTAACTGCCCGAGGGTCACAAAATTAATGATCCAGCCTGAGAGTCACTACTTATTTTCTGGATATAGAGTCATTGGATCTTAGTCTGCAATTTAGAGTTCTGGTTAAGGTAACAATTCACAATTCTATATTTGATGAGTATAAGCAAAGGTTCAATGATCTATAAGTTTCTGAAGTTTGTGTTACTGATAAGCCAGATTTTCCAAGACTAAAATGTTCTACATCCCCATATGACATTCTCAGACAATACTACATGGAGTAAGAAGCATTGATGTAATGTCTGGAAGAACATTTCTTCTAAAATTAAGCAAGTGTTAAGGGCGGTGGTGGTGCACGCCTTTAATCCTAGCACTCAGGAGGCAGAGGAAGGCGGATCTTTGTGGGTGAACAGGGTTAGAAAATAGGGAGAGTTATAAATGAGATCAATGAAAGTCAGTCTGATGCAGAGGTGTCTTTATAGAACTGTTTAGAAAGTAGCATGCGGACTTCAAATAAAGTCTGCTTCATTCTTACCTCAAAATGAAATCCTTCTTTAAGTGCAATCGCCTTTAAAATTTTAGAAGAGACAGTGGTGGCTAGCATGTAAACGTTCTTCACATCAGCATTTGATTTGTTTTCTTTCCAGCAATCAAACATCCACCACCCAAACAAAGCTGCCAACTCATTCCCTGTGAAAACTTTCCAATGGCCACTGTAGAAAGAAATGAAAATTCAAAGTCAAGACCTTTGGAGCTTCTCACAAAAACTTTCTGGCTCAGATCTTCAAATTACTATCCATGCCCTGCCCCCCGCCTTTCAAAATCCCCAAAGTTATTATATGACAAAACATTTATTCCTTCTTTTCGGTGTGTTGTATACAAATGTGAACCTACTTGTGTGTGCATATGTATGTGCATATGTAGGGAGGCCAGAAGTAGCTTCCTCTATTACTCTTCATCTTTATTTAAAGTATAGTTTAAATTTCATTTGTGTGTGTGTGTGTGTGTGTGTGTGTGTGTGTGTCTGTTTGCCTGTGTGGGTACATGTGTGTAATGACTGTGAGGATCAGAAGAGGGTGATGGAGCGCCTCAAACTGAAGTACAGACAGCTATGAACCACCTGAAATGAGTGCTGGGCACCAAATCCAGGACTTCAGAAAGAGAAGCATGTGCTCTTAATTGCTAAGCCATCTCTCTAGCTCTCCACCTGATGTTTTGAGATAGGGTCTCTTACTGGACCTGGAGATCATCAATTTAGCTAGGCAGACTAGCCAGCAAACTCCATGAACCTCCTGTCTCTGTCCCCAACAGTGTTGTGAGTTCATATGTGCAGCTGAGTGTCCTGAAAACAGTTGTGTTGTGGTTATCTACTGCCTCTGGCTCTTAGAATATTTACACACCCTCTTCTGTGATAATCCTTCATCTTGGGAGGAGGAGGTGATGTAGATGTCTCATTTAGGGCTGAAGCTCCACTACTTACTTCTGCTGAAGTTCTGCCACTGCTAGCCGGTCTGCATCAGGATCTGTAGCTAGCACTATCCGGGCATTCTCTTTCTCTGCCAGTCTCAGGGAGAGTTCCTAAAAGGGCGATCCAAAAAGATTGTACTAAAAAACCCAAATCCAACATTCTTATTCCCAAATATAGGCACTACATCAGTAATATGAATTTCAGAAAGCATGCAGTCTGAAGAGACAGAACTAGGGCCACTTTCTGCAGAGATTTCAAACAAATTACATCTCCAATGTAATTTGAAAGGTCACACTATGGTGCTTGCTGCAGAGCACAAGGGATGCATGTAAGTCATCTTGACATGTCACTCAGTCCCATCTAGCCTGGTGGGTAATAAGCTGAGAGTAATTTAGATATTAAAAATAATACCAGCACAGATTCTCCTTCCTCGGGGTTTGGGCATTTAACAGTAGAGAACTCTGGATCTGGATCTTTCTGTTCTGGGACCGGAATTGGAGGCTTAAAACCAAATACTTGAAAAGCCAACTGTACATAGTCATGTCCCACTCCGTGAAAGGAGGTATGTACAAATTTCAAGGTGGTCTTTGAATTTAAGTCCCTGTAAAGAAAAATCACACATATCCTTACTTACCATTTACTAACCACTTCATCTACAAAACAATTTATAAAATAAATAATATTCCATAACAACGTTCAAAATACACATAAAGAAGACACCCAGCATCCATATATACTTGGTTAGTACTTTGTTTCAACATGTATCAATTCTGTCAGCCTGGCTTTATTTCTTTAAAACATATTATTTTGCACAGAATACTTTAGTATTGAAAAACACAATCATAACCCCATTGTCAAATCTAACAAACTGAACAATAATTTTTAATGTTATCTAATATCTGTGTTTACATTTTCTCCAAGTGTCTAAAAATATCATCTGGCCCCTATGTCTCTCAAGTCTTCTAATTTGTAAATGTTCTTTCCATTTGTTTCCAATCCCTGTTCTCTCCCAGAGAATGTCCCATATCTTGGTATGCAAATTATGCATCCTTTTTTACAGCTTCTTGTTTTTCTTCTCCTCCTTCCTTCCCTCTTTCAGTTTGAGACAAAATCTTTTAAATGTCTCCAGCTAGCTTCAAACTCACTGTGTAGCTGAGGGTGACAAACGTTAACTTCTGATCCTCCTGCCTCTGTGTTCCAGGCATTGTGATTACATAAGGTATGTCACTGTGCCCAGTTTGTGTGTTACTAGGGATTCAACCCAACATCTTTGCTCACACAAGGTGAGCACTCTACTAACCGGGCTATGTCTCAGCTCTTATTTATATTAGTATGTTTCTCTGGTCTGTTTCTACAATGAATGGGCCATTCAATCTAGGGGCAATATGAGATTCAATTCCAGTTCTTTTGCAAGAATAAGTGCTGTGTATTTTCTACTGAGTCACAAGAGGAAGTCCATAATGTCGATTTCCAGTTAATATTTATGAGTGTCCTGCCATGCTCATCTATCCATCTGCAATTTCCTATTAATTGCTAAGGATCAAGATCACAAAATTGTGATGTTTTAATTCTATATATTCTTCTTCCTGCATTAATAGTTGAATCTGGGGAAGCTAGATCAGTGGAAGAGTACTGTCTAGCATATATAAACGCCGAGTTCAATCTCTACCACAGGAAAAATAAAAGTTGATTTTCTTTCTTTGAAAAATGTTTCTCTTTCAGCCAACTCTTTTAACTCAAATAGAATTTACACATGGGAAAGAAAATTTATCAGAAAGAATAAAGCATTAATCAATTTTAAAGATGAATTCATAATTCATTATGAGTCTTGAATAAATGATTTTTAGTCTAGAAATACAAAAGTGACCAATAATGTGCTTTCCTAGTATTACCTATAGTAACTGGTTTTCTTTCTTTTTTTTTTTTTAAATGTAAATTAATTACAGGGCCTTCATGTTGGTTCTTCTATGCTTTTGATATGACCTAATTATCTCCCAGTATGTTATAGGGGAGAGAGGGAGAGAGGGAGAGAAAGGTAGAGAAGTGAGAGAGAATAAGAGGAGAGAGAAGTAGATAGATATATAGATTATAGATGATAGGTAGGTAGGTAGACATATGGATGGATGGATGGATAGATAGATAGATAGATAGACAGATAGATAGATAGATACTGAATGATTCTGATACCAAGCTTGTTCAGGACATTTTATGTACCAGGCCTGGATATACGTTATTCTAAGGTTATCCTACAGTCCCACTTTGATACCTGTGAAAACAGATCTTTTTCAGATCTTCCATGTATCTCTTGCAAATGTCCTGGAGAGGATCTTTCTTCAGTGGGCTGGTGTCCACTAAATTATCATTCCAGGAACCATTCCAGGGTTCCACACACTCTTCTATACATTTCAGAATTTCTTTATCATGTGGAGATGTTATTTGAGCACCAGTTTCCCAATAAACCTATGAGATACATAAATATAGTAGTAACTAGTTAAAATACTTGTTAGGCTCTTTCTCAGCTATAGTAGAGCTCTTTGGCTTTTTGAAGAATATCAAATTAATTAAAAATGTCAATATTAGACTAATTTACCAACACTAAAGTACATTGATGGTAATGATTTCACAGAGACTCATCAATAAAACAATTGAGAATTATATCCTATCTTAGAATCTACTGCAGTAACAGGTTAATTATAAGGGATCAGTATAACCACCTTATATGCATACACTAGTATCAAATTATATTCTTAGATTTATGACTATATACTGAAGATAAAAAAACAAACAAACAAACAAACAAAAAAAACAAAAAACAAAAAAAACACGAAATGGGGCTGAAGAGATGGCTCAGCAGTCAGAGCACTGGCTGCTCCTGCAGAGGGTCCAGGCTGGTTTCCAGCACCCACATGGTGCTCACAGCCGTCTGTAACTCCAATCTCAGTGTCATAGGATCTGACACTCTTGCAGCACTGCACAGAGGATACTGCATACATGTGGTGCACAGATATACATGCAGGCAAAACAAACATTCATATACTTTAAAATAAATACATATTTAAATACTAAGAAACCATGAAGTATCCACAAAACTTACACTATTAAACTCAGCATTGTGTTATATGAAACAGAATAAATCATTCCCACTGTAAATTCAAGTAGAATTATGTAATATAAAAGTATGTGTCAGAAAAAATAAAGATGGTATCTACATACATTTCAACCAGTTTTCAATTTGTCTAGTAGTTTAATCAATGTGGCACTAAGAACAATCACAGCCCCCCAAAAACATTTAAAAAAAAAAAAAGGATAAAATTCTAAGACTTCTTCTCAGGGTTTCAAAGATGAAAGGGATGTCCCTTAGAAAATATTTATGCTGATCCTGTCATGGATATGACACAGAACCCTGCTCCATCCTAAATGAAAGATACAAAATACATTTGAGTGCACATACTATGTATTAAACTCTGTCACAAGCAATGTGACAAATTATTTGACTTAAAAAATCTTCTATCAACAACAGAAACAACAGGAAATAAATTCATAGAAATTAACTCACTACTGAATTAAAAATGGGTCAAGACAAAAATCAAGATGAAAATTAAAAATTTTTAGCACTGAATAAAAATGAAAGCACAACATACCCAAACCTTTGGGACACAATGAAGGCAGTCCTAAGAGGCAAGGTCATAGCACTAAGTGCCTACATTAAAAACAAAACAAAACAAACAAAAAACTGGAGCGATCTCATATGAGCAACTTAGTGACACATCTAAACACTCCAAAGCAAGAATAAATAACACCCAAAGAATAGATGAGAAGAAATAATCAAATTTGAGGTTGAAATAAGAACAACAAAAACACTATAAGGCATCAATGAAATGAAGAGTTAGTTCTTTGAGAAAAATCAAGTAAGATTGAGAAACTCTTAGCCAAACTATCAAAAGATGGAGAGAAAAATCCAAATTATAGAAGAAACGGGAGAAATGATGACAAAACTGAGGAAATTCAGAGATTAAGGACATACTTTAAAATTATATTCCACCAATCTGAAATACTTAAAAGAAACTGATGAATTTCTTGACATGTATAACCCACCAATGTTAAATCAAGATCTAACAAGCCCATAACCTCTAGTAAAATAGAGTAATAGAAAGTCTCCTAAGATTTCCCATATTTTAAAGATATCTGTGTTTTCTTTCATGAGAAGTTTGTTGAAGTGTGTACACCCACCACCTGTGTGTCTATCACCCATGGTGGCTAGAACAGGGCATTGGATCCCCTGGGATCAGAGTTACAGATGGTTGTGAGCCATCTTGTGGTTCCTGGAAACTGAACCAGGGTCCACAGGAAGAGTACCAGTGCTCTTAACTGAACTATTTCTCTGGTCTCTTCCTGACAATATTGTTTAAGACAGGGTCTCTCATTGGATCTGGATACAGCTCCTCGTTTCAGCCAGACTGGCTGGCCAGCAAGCCCCCAGGTTCCCTGCCTCTGTCCCATAGCGCTGAGATTACAGATCTGCATGGCCACACCCAGATTTCACATGGGTGCTGGGGAACCAAACTTGGGCCCCACACTTTCAGAGAGAGCACTTTACCCACTGAGCCATTTCCAGCCCCTGTTCAAGGATTTTAAATTTATTTTTATTTATTTTTCAGCCTTCCATGGCTGGCCTCAGGCTTACTACGTAGCTTAGGCTGGTCATGAACCCAAGATCATCTTCCTTAGCCTCTGGAGTACTAGGATTATGGGTGTGCACCACAATGCATTAACGGTTAAGACTTTTTTTTAAAAAGGATTTTTATTTACTTACTATTATTTATTTATTTAGTGGTGCTAGGGGAACCAAGCCCTCATGCATTCTAGATAAGTATGATTTTATGTTGCAGAGTAGCTTTAGCTTCAGAATAAAATTGGGTAGAAGGCACAGACATTTCCTATCTGTTACCACATTACACAGCCACCATCTTTAACAGAATTCCCCACCAGAATAGTACATTTAAAAATTATGAACCTATATTGACACACCATTATGCCCCAAATTCAATGTTTCCATTAGGGTTCACCCTTGGTGTTGTACATTCTATAAGACTGGGAAAATGTATAAGGCACACATCTACCTCTGCAGTACCATACACAGTCTTAAATGCCATGATCCGTCTATTCATCCCTCCTTCCTCCCTCCCCATGTGACTTCTGGCAACCACTCATCTTTTTACTATGTGTACAGTTCCACATTTCCCAGAATACTGTATAATTGGAATCATACAGTATATATGTTTCAGATGACTGTCTTCACTTAACAATAACTATTTAAGAGTTCTTCATTTGAAGCAGTAGACAGTTAGCTTAATCATTTATCAATTATTTGTGTGTGCTTATGTAATGTGTGTATGAGCTGTGTGGTACCTGTGGGTGTGTGGCACATACAGAGAGAGACTAAAGCAGAACACACAGTACCTTCCTCTACCACTCCCTTGTGTTTTTCCTTGAGATAGGGTCTTTCACTAAACCAGAATTTTGCTGTTCTCCTACCAAAGCTAGAGTTATAGGCATGTAAAACTATATTTGGAGCTTTACAAAGGTGCTGGGGATTTAAAATGTCTGTCAGACATCTCCACAGATGTGTAGTAGGTGCTTGGGTACAGGAATCTGATGCTCAGGGAAAAGACCTGTGTCCTTTGCTCTTGCTGACAGCTCCTTCTAACCCTTGCAACTTTCTTAATCTTTTATGCTTTAATGACACCAATATCTTCTGGCTTTTCTCCTATCTCTAGTGTATTTTTCCCCTTCTGTTTATTTTTCTTAAATTAATAAGTTAATATTCTCTAGGATCCATCCTTCTACCTTATCTTTTGGCTGTACATCCAAGTCATGGACTTAATCCTGTATGTTCTAACGGATATGGTACCCCTAAAATCTATAACTTCAGCCCACATTTCTTCCTTAAGTTACAGATCTCCACATCCAACTGCTCACAGTATATTTGTTTACCTGGTTAACTCACAACACCTGGAACTTACATGTCCTAAAATGAATTAATTGTGTTTCTTCCCTGACTCTAGGAATAGGCCAGGCCCCAAATTTTAAATCGGTATGAAATCTTTCTCCTAGTTGTCTAGAGTCCCCCCCAGACAAGAAGAAAAACTTGAGAACATGGGCTCAGTGCTATGCTGCTTTTCACCTTTGTCACTCTAATTTTGTCATTTTGTCAGAGAAGCTATACTGTAGCAAAAGGACCCTGTGGCCACTGAAAACCCTGGGCAGATCAGAGGGATGGGAGAGTGCATGTAAGGCTTACCTTGTATCCATTGTCCTCTTTGCGGTTGTGAGATGCAGTAATCATCACACCTGCAACTGCTTTGAGCTCCTGGACTGCATATGGCTGAAAAAATACATATCACAGCAGCATTCATCCACTTTGCTTGCTAGAATATTCATACATTTTACATGAACATTACTTGTCTGAATGATGCAGGAGGACAGTTATCAATAATTTAAGATATCATTAGCTCCAGGTTTGATGGGTAAGGTCCATTTCTAACATATTCAGTTTAACAATCATCCAATTATTACCTTGAATGACCTTTCCTTCCAATCTCATTTTGCTTATTGGTAGTATAACAATTTCCTATTCTTTTGTTATACAATAATATTTAGTAAATACTAAATGGCAGACTCTTTACTGTCAAACACAATCATAAATAGTTGGAGATGGAAATAAATCTAGAAACCATCTTATCCATCTCATTTTACCTGAGTTTTATGTGATATTACATAGTCATTAGGGAGAAGATTCGAAGCAAATAACACGAGTCTTATGCCTTCTAATTTGAAGATCTTTACATATACTCTGTATCTTCATGTCACGTGTCAACTTGCCCTTCTTGGGATTATCCCAGGTTGGGTTTCTCTTTCTCTCTGTAATAACTATTATTTCTCTTCCTTGGATGCTTCCCTACAGCTTCCACTATCATAAAGACTACTATCCAGACCACAGAGGGTTGGGGTGAGAGGGGAGGGCAAGAGTGTGGGTAGATGTTCCAGGTCAGATCACACTAGTGTAGTCCCTTGACATGATTCCAGAAACAGTTTCAAAACCCACACCTGATCAGAGGTCCCCACCCCCACCCTGAGATACTCTGGCTACACTTAGTTGAGGAAGACAACCTTTGATCTGAAGTCTTGGTGACAAAAGGGTGTGAATCTGGGATTGCTAAAAATACCCTCCTGATCAACTACTACAAATCTACCTGAGATAAGACAGGAAAGCCAACACACTGGCACTGGAACTGGCTATGGCACAATCTTAGATTTCTGAGTACTCTGTTACTGAAGCTGAACATATAGAAGCATGTGAGACTACTCTACCATTGAGCTACAGCCCTAGCTCCTTTCTGTAACAAGATAAATAAAAGACCCAGAGACAGATATTTGCATTCAAGCTTCAAGATGAAGATTAGAAAAGCAAAGCAGCTGGGCACTAGCTCTCACTTTACCTCAGACTGAAAGGTGATCTTGGCTCCACCTAACCTCAGACTGTAACCTTTACTCAGCATGGCCAGTGAATCCTGAGACTTCAATGTCTTCCTAGTCAATGTGGCTAGAGAATGAATGCCTGATACTGAGACCATGCTGGGATTAAAGGCTTGTGATCCCAGGTGTTGAGATCATCTTTGTGTGAGCTGTTTCTTTTTTCTTTTTTTTTTTTTTTTTTAAGGACTGGATATATTTCTCGCAGATCTAGGTGGCCTTGGACTCACAGTTATCTGTCTACCTCTTAATTCTGAGTCCTAGGATAAACGACCTAGAGACTGATATTGGAGTTCAAATTTGAACCTGAATAGCAGAAAAGCAAAGCAGCTGGCCACTAGTTTCTTACCTCTACTTTATGCTGAATGGGGTGATCCTATCTCCACAAGCTCTCAGCAAATCTCAGACCTCAGCAGACCTCAAACCTCTCCTCAGTGTAGCTGGAGAACGAATGCTTCTACTGAATCTTTGCTCCTGTCTTTTAAACTCCTCTAGTGCTGAGATTAAAGTTATGAGCTATACTTCTCTTTTAGAATAATTATATCTTATGTAGATCTGGGTGGCCTTGGACTCACAGAGATCCATCTATCTCTTAATCCTGAGTCCTACTAGGATTAAAGGTGTGTACCACCACCTCCTAGCTTCTGGCTGCTGGGATTAAAGTTGTGTGCCTAGCTTCTATGACTTGTGGCTAACTTTGCTTTCTGAATCATCAGGCAAACTTTAATAAATCATAAATAATATACCACCATACCTTTCTAGTTTCTATTATTCACTGGTGCTAACTTAATTGATACACTATTTTTTTTTTAAGCAATTCCTTCAGGTTTTTTTTTTGTTTGTTTGTTTTTTGTTTTTTCAAGACAGGGTTTCTCTGTGTAGCTTTGGAACCTGTCCTGGCACTTGCTTTGTAGACCAGGCTGAGCTCAAACTCACAGAGATCCACCTGCCTCTGCCTCCCAAGTGTTGAGACTAAAGGCATGTATCACTGCCTAGCCTTTTTTTTTCTTTTTTGAAAAAACTCAGTATAATAACCTATAGATATTATTCATTCCCTGAATGTTTGATAAAGCTTACATATAAAATCATTTGGACATGTTAGTTTAAATTTAAGAATATTTTTATAAAATACCAATTCAACTTACTGAATAATTATAGTTATTCAGGTTTACTATTTCTTGTAAGTTTGATGCATCAACTATTATTCTAAGATATTGGCTAATTCATCTAAGTTTGCACATTTACTTAAATTATGGTTAGAAATACTATGATTATCTTAGTTTCTACTGTATTTATTACCCACTCCTTTTGTGTGTATCTTGTATCTTCAGCACTATTTCCAGTTTCATTAACAAATGTTTAGTTATATTTATTTACTTATTTGGGGATGGGGCAAGTCATGCAATGGACCATGTGTGAGGGCAGAAAACAACTTGTAGGAGTTGGCTCTCTATATCTATCATGTGGGCCCTAGAGACTGAAGTCATGTTGTTAAGCTTGGCATCTGAAGCCATCTCTCCAGTCCAGTTTTGTCTTCTGTTACTATTTTAAGTTTATGTACTTATTTCTTTCTCGTACTTTTACAATTTCATTCTTTTAACTCTGCTCTAGCACAAACATACATATTATTATAGCATAAGTTGGTATTTTAACTTTTGTTTTTGCTACTGCATTTGTTAAACTTACAAATTTCTCTCCCTCAAAGTGGGGCTTAGTTCTACCTCATAAATTCTGGTTAAAAACATCTCACCATGACTCCATGACTATAGGCTAATCAACTTGTACAGCCCAAGCTCAAAGCAAAATTGTTTTCCATCCTTTAATTAGACTTGTATTGTATTGGACATTCAATACTTAGAACCATATGTATAGCAAAATCTGAATCCTAATTGTCTTAAGAAGTCCCACGAAGGGCAGCCAGCTGAGTAATCACCATCACAACATACTTACTACGAAAGGTGTAGGAACATATCTTGAAAAAAGGTAAACAGGAACATCTTTAGCAAGCAACACTGCAGCAGTGAGTTTAGCAAGCCTAAAAAAAGATATTTCACTTAGTCCTTCCCATAATTTTAATAAAGCAACCTTCCATATAATAAATGTTTCACAATGGAATTACTTTAAAGTTGAAACAAGATCTTTAGTGGTAGCCAAAGCTGGGTGGAGCTGTTACCTAAGTTTGCCTCAAACTCCCAATCCTTCCTCAGCCTCCCTATTATGCCACCATACCCAGCCAACCTATTCTTACCATTATTTAAGCTTGATTATTTAAGCTTGATGCTCCAACTTAAAACTGTTAAGTAAGGTTTGTCTGTCTGTTTGAGGAACTAGGGATGTTGCTTAGTGGTAGAACACTGGATTAGTATTCATAGGCCCTAGCTTCATCTTCAGACATACATACATAAAAACAAAAACCCTGTAATGTTGGAGGACAATGAAGCAAATAAACTCCATTTGTACAACTGTCTTCCTTAAAAAGTACCATGACTATCAATTTATGAAAAGATACTAAGGCAGGATTATAAGAGAACAGAGCTTCATAATTACTTCTATTTAATGCCTATACAAAAAAATTACAGATTGACATTATTCTGTGAACTTGCAATATTTGAAGATTATTTTTATACTTCTATAAAATCTAAAGCTCATCTCTGAAGTGCATTTTTACTTCTTTGTCCTCAAGCTTCAGAAAACATATAATAAGCACCAGCATGGGGTCCTGTTTCTATATGGAGGTCTCTTGTTTCAGAATTCTCACCACTAGAAAAAAAAAATTAAGTATTTTATCCCCATTCTAATGTAACCTTTGCAATAATTAACATTGTACCTCTGGCTGCTGCAGCTGCTAGTTACTTGACCCCGAGTGTCATACCCAACAACAAAGCCTCGCTGCTTGAAGTCCGAAAAACACCTCTCCAGGTATTTGTACATCCCCTGTAGCAAATAAACAGAAGATTAGCTCCTGTTGCAAGTTTCCACAATAAGTGCCTCCCCCAGTGCCTGCTTTTAATTCTGAGAATGAACTGAGGGACTCACACAGGTTAGGCAAGGGCATTACCACTGAGCTGTATCCCAGCCCCAATGACTGCAATTTACAACCTAAAAGTCTCCGGTTTTTATGTTTAGTGTGCTGCTAATTGACTCAGAACTTACTAATGTGGGAGCAATACTGCTCAATCCACAAATGTGAGATGGCAATCATTTCTCAGATTTTCAAACATATTTAGTATTACAGAAATACCAACTTAGTAACCACAACTCCAATATAACACATAAAATACTAAGGAAAGAAAAAAAGGTAGGAAATGAAGGTCAGTAAGGGAAGGGTGTCAGAAAGAACATTCAGAAAAAAATCAGGGAAACTGTTTCTTACTTCAAGGCTCTACAGGACAGAATTTTCACCATCTCACTTTGTAGCCCAGGCTCACCTGGAATTTGCTATGTAGCTGGCTTCAAACTTAGTCACTCCTTCCCTTGAGTACAGGGACTAAAGGTGTGCACCACATCCAGCCAAAAGAACTCTTCATGAGGAGGACTGTGGTGTGGACCAATGGTTCTCAACCTTCCTAATACTGCTACCCTTTACTACACAGTTCTTCATATGTGGTGACCCCCAGCTATAAAATTATCTCATTATTACTTCATAACTGTAATTTTGCTGCTGTTACGAATTGTAATGTAAATATCTGATATGCAGGATATCTGATATGCAACACCTGTGAAAAGGTTGTTTGACCCTGAAAGGGGTCAAGACCCACAGGTTGAAAACTATTGTTATAGCTATATAAACGATTTCCAACATAAATCTTGGGCAAAGTAAAAGATCAAAATTGGTCTGCCCTTTTTGTTTATAACAGTACCTTCCTGACCAAAATAGTTTTTTAAATTTATAAAGTAAAATAATATAGCGAGAAAAGAACATATATAATAGTTTGTAATACTTGCCTGTGTTGACTGTATTACTGTAAGATCATTAATGTAGCAAAACCCTGCCCCCATGGCAGATCGAAGTCCAGCAGTCCCAAAAGTCATCCGGCAACAAAGACGATCACGCAATTCCTTGTTCATCCCATTCCGTAAGAGATTTTCAATTTGTTCTTTTGTTTTGGGATTCTGTTTTAAAAAAAAATAGATCTAATCAGGAATATAAAATGCTAATACTAAGTCTGAGGGCCCAAAATGTAGACTCATAAGCCTGATTCATTATATTTCAAAGTTACTTAATAAAATGAGTGTATACTACAAAATACAGTATTATCTATACATAATGTGTGTGTATATATGTATATATGTGTGTGTGTATGTATGTGTGTGTATATGTGTACATGTATATAAATATATATATATATACACACACACACATATTTTAAAATAACATGTTATTTATTAAAAATCACCCCACTTACTGAGTTTCCAAAAGAGCCAGGCTCTGCTGAGGGTGATTTACATATACCTATTTTTCTCTGATTTTAAATTATTTTGTTTTTCAAGACAGGTCTCTCCATGTAGCCTGGCTGTCCTGGAATTTGCTGGCCTCAAACTCATAGACATCTGCCCCCTCTGCCTTCCAAGCACTGGGATTAAAGGTGTGGGCCACTACTGGCCAGTTTATAATCTTAAATTTAATAGCTATGAATAAAATGTCAAGGAACAGGTGGGATGGGGGAGAGGGAACTGAGATTGGTATATAAAATAAGGTTGTTTTAATTTAAATAAAAATTAATTTTAAAAATGTCAAGGAACATCTCTGTCAGGATTTCTGTGCTTCTTGACTGTGGATGCAATACAATCAGACACCTCCTTCCCCTGCCTCCATGCCTTTTCTGCCATGATAAATACTCCTCAATTGTAAGCTAAAATAAAAGTCTTCCTTAAATTGCTACTTGTCAGGTTTTGTCATAGCAATGAGAAAAATAATATTAATATACTGTCCATTTTATAATTCCTATACAACTTGAATCTAGGAATATTCTAGTAATAAACCTAACAGCTTGAGAACCACCTAAGTCATACACTACATCATTTAGAAGATTAGAAAAGATATATATTAAAGAATGTAGTAGTATCAAAATCAACAATGCCAAATCCTGATATTGTTATTCATTAAAGGAAGCCCATGTACAAAACTCTTCCACAATTATAACATTTTATATACTATTCTTAAATATCACTGTCAGAGATTTGTGCTTGAACAACAAATACCAGGCTAATAAAACAAAGAATTTTTAAGTTTATGTTTGAACAGAGGTTAAAATAGGGAACTGCAATCTGAAACCCTGAAGGGTGAACCCTGCTGACATTTACTTTTGAGGGTTAGCCAACTTGGAGATCCATTTCCAGAGCCCTGGAGCAGAGCAGGGGTCCAGTCAGATGATTTCTTATTAGCTTCAAAATATAATCTTGTTAAAGGAGTTATTTCCCTATGTAAAGAATCCATGTTTAATTCTAAATTTAATCTACCTATCTTAAAAAATTCACCCAAATTAGCACTGTTAGTTTGGTTTAGATAAAAAGCTTAGATGGCTTTATTTATTTATTTATTAATAAATCATATAAAACAAAATTTACTTGAAAAATAGCTTACTAGGAAAAATAAGTTCAGGAAATGAAAATGTTAACCAGACAAAGACTGGAAAGTAAGTTTTGAAATATAACTTTTGTTATCACTTAAGTATAATATTGGGTAGGGAAAGATTAACTTGGAAAGTTAAAATTGTCAATTATTGTAGTTTAAAACTTAAGCCTTCCTGGAGATGTAGCTCACTAGCAAGGTGCTTGTTTAGTGCACAGGTTCCAGGTTTGATCCCTACCAGTGTAAAAACCAAGAATAGAGCTAGAGAGATGGAACAGAGATGGAACAGAAGAGTACTGGCTGTTCTTGCAGAGGACCCAGGTTTGATTCCCAGCATTCACGTGGCAGCTCACAACCATCTGTAACTTCAGTTGGGGGATCTGATGTCCTCTTCTGGCCTTCTTGGACACCAGGCATGCTTGTGGTACATAGACATTTATGAAGACAAAACACCCATACACATAAGATAGTAAAATAACTAAAACTAACTAAATAACAAGTTATAAAGCACATACTATGTACCACACATAGATGATACTATTGGTAGTTCGAGGACTTTACAAAGTTCAATATGTAGTATGGTAGAAAGTTAAATTTCAGCTTCCACAGAGACTGTGCATAGGTTCTGAGTGATATAGCAGTATTTGGCCTAGTTATTAAGCTATGGTGAATGAAGAAAGGGAGTTGAAGGACGCAATATCTGATCTGATAAGTGAAAAAGTAGTATGAACTAAATTGTAGGAGAAGAGAGAGGAGGTGGCCCACTCTCTCTTCTCTTTGGGTGACTTCAATCAAATGGATCTGAGACCTTCTCATTACATCATCTTAGGCTTCATACTCCATATTTTCTCTTTAGTCTTCCTCTTAGCAGTCTATCACTACATGCTTCATCCTGAATACATCACACTGTCTTATATTCTCTAATTCTCTAACTCCGAGTATTGCTAAATTTGTGCACTAAATTCTTAGTTTTGGTTATTTTGGTTATTGTATTATTTCAGAGTCAGAACTTATATTTTAAAAAATACAAACTTTTAAATTATTTTTACTTCTCTGCCTAATTTTTAATTTTCTTTTTTCTATCTTAGAATTGGCAAGCAGTTATTTTAAAGTCTGTATATCATAATTTAGCATAAAGTTCCTCTATGAGTCAGTTTACAGTGCAATTTGTTTCTGTGGGTAATTGTTTATGTTGACCTAATTCTTTGTGGGTCTGGTTAACTGACTCTACATTGCATATTATATTTGCAATGTTATTAATAGGAACAAAATGAGGCCTGTAAGGAAGGTATTTCCTACTGAAGCCAAGTACTATAGCTGGAATCCAAGCACATGAGAGATAGAAACATTCAGAATGATCAGCTATTCAAGGTCATTTTTGGTTACAGAGTAAGTTGAAGGCTACCCTGGGCTACATGAGGTCCTTTCTTAAAACAAGCATAAAAGTGAAGGTCCTTAACCCATATATAGATTTTTTTTTTCCTTCTCTTTTTGTGGGCACCTGAAATCAACAGCAATCTAAGCTCATTTTAGTCTAAGGTTTAGGCCACTTAAATGACTCATATCTGGTATTTGGTCTGTGTTAGGAGTGCTGACACTGAATTCATGAAGTCATATGGCAGACCTTTGAACTGTCATTCTTAAGTAGCAGTGGTGGACCCTAGATTTAATTTTTGCCTGTTTATATCAAATGGGTGATGAAAAGACTTCTAAACCTTTTAGCTGCCTATCTTGAATAAGAAATTGTGAATTAGGTAAGTGTTCTTGAATGACAAACTCAGCTTTCTAAATTTCTGTATACATTCAGACTGAGGCCTAGAATATTCTTATATTAGATTTTAACCTAGAAATTCTTGGCTAAACTTGTTGATTATTTAACATCTCAACAGTAGTTTATATCTATTCTGTATTTAGCTAGTTGTTCAATGTTCAAATTTTCTCACTTGTCATTATTAGAAGTCTATCATTCAATGAGATATACTTAGTCTACTTCCCAAATCAGCACTAAACATATATTTTGCACATGTTCCGGTATACATAACATATATGTGAATGAGTGCATGTGTGCTCTCACATATCACTATATGAGGTTAGATACTTAGCATCATGTATCTTGAGGTACATGGTTCATTTAAGGGTTTGTCCCAAGTAAGAAAAGATTCCAGTATATCAGGGATGTCCTTGACACTGAAGTTAGCTATTAGAAATACTACAGAACAAAGTTTTACTCTAAGTAGAAACTTAAAAAAGACAATATATTTAGGCTGCTGACAACTAAGAGTAGCTAGTTTTACACTTTAATTACTAAGCAGATTCATGGCCTGATGTACAACACCATTATTTCGGAGTAAAGAAAACAATAATAATAATTTCTTCTTTTTAAAAAACAAGTTATAATTTTCATATTCTTTTGTTATTAAGCTATAATTATGAACTGATAATTAGAAATGTCTTCTATATCACATGTGTATGTCATGTTTATACATATTATGAAAGTAATGCCTATTAAGCTTTTACACTTTACATTTTATAAAACAGGAAGAGTAAAATTAAGAGAGTGGAACAGAGAAGATGATGGAATATGAGAAGGAATAAATATCTTGAAAAAGTTACATGGAAACCTACTACTATAGAAGCTTCTTACAATATATAAAAACACATACCAAAGAGTTAAAATGGAGTTACCCATTAACAAGGCAACACTATCCTTATTGACACCAGAAGCTAACAAATAAGTCCAGTACCAGGAATGGGTTACTTCTTTTGGAGTTGCTGGGCAGTGAAGTACACTAGATCCCCAAACATTATAGGCTATTGTAACTGCTCTTACTTACTCCCTAGTCCTTGATTTTATTTATAGACTTTATTGCTGAAGACATATTTGAGCCATAAGACATGGAGAAATAAAGCTGGTATTGACCTGAAAGCTTCATCTCTATATTGGCTAATTTTCACAGTGATGGAAGGTGCTATGAACACTACTGGAGGAGAAAAGTAATCTTCTATCATACTCAGATGTGAACACCCTGAGACCTATAGTAAAGACTGGCATGGCAAGACATGCTCACTCGTGCAATAGTGGCAAGAACGACACAGGAGTAACCATCTGCTTTCTGATTGGAGTTAAGTCCCACTCCACAAGATTAAACCAATACCTGGCACCATTATTGGGGAAAGAACCTATGGTTAGGCCCTAGGAGAGAACTTACTATACTATTATTCTGATGAATGGACATAGTACATTAGAAGTAGTATTTCTAATGATTTACCATTATACCCATAGATCAATGCACCTCTCAACTCTCATCTAAGGAATTTCTATTTGCAGTAGATAGTGATTAATAGACACCTACTATTAGCCAAAGTGCAGAGAAGAAAAGAATGTAAAATACTCAGCCCAAAATGGAACCTTACCCCCTCCTCCCAAGGCTCAGGGATTGTTGAAGAAGAGGGAACAGAACAAATGTAAGAGCTCAAGGCAGTGGATGACTACAGGGAAACAGTGCTTCAGGATACAGCAGTGATGCTGCACCTAAGAACT